AATCACTTAAACCTATAAATTAAATTGTGATGCAAATGAGATATTCTATAAAATAATTTCAATTACATTAATTTTAATGAATTATAATTTGTTAGAGTCGTTAAAAATCAAATCTAAATAATAGAAAACAAGTTTTGATCGGTAAAACAACTTAAAAATGAATAAAAAAACATAAGAACAATAGAATAACAGAAAAATGAAAGAACAAAATTCTACAAAAAATTAGTAAAAGAGAAGAGAAAAACGGGAAATTAATGGAGAAGAGGAAACAAACATGATCTAAAAGATCTTGAATTAATTATTTTCAAGGAACAATTCATACAAGAAGCTCAATAATCGAAGAAGATAAACTACTCTAAGAATATAAACTAAAAATTAGAGAAAAGAGAGAAAAATCTAAATTCTACCCTTAATGAAGCAATCTTAAGGATAACTTATGATTTTTTGGTTTCTCAAGTCTATTTATACAACAATAATCATGTACAAGACACAAAAGGCTTACCGAAGACACATAATTAATCAATTACATAATATAGAACTTGAATTACACTTTTGCATTTCTGTGGTTATGTGACAATTTCGCTCAACGGTTCAAAATTTGCTGAGAAAATTGGATTTCGTTGAGCATATTTGACAGATAAATAGTTAATCACATAAGACATTTCAATTAATAGCTGGTTTCTTCATTGAGCCAATTGAAAATGTCGGGATTGATGCATCGGGATGAAATTCGTTGAGCGAAATTGTTAGGAGTTGAGCGAATATTTAAGATAACACTTTATATTCTTCTTTAATTATCATTCTTGTAAAAATAATCAAATAATTAGTTAAAATGTACAATATAAATAATAAATTAGATTTAAAGATATTTATTTCCTTTTTACAAAAACTATATTAAGTACTAATAATTAATTAAAGAAATACACTAAATATATATAAATTATATTAATAAATTTATTGATAAGATGTGTTCATCAAAATCAAGATTCAAAGAAAAATATTATGATTTAACATGTAATATGAAAAAAATTATGATAAATTTTATATATTAACCTTGTCAAATGATGAAACGTGTTTAAATTATATATTTTTTATTGCACATGTATTAACACAGGGAATATAATATGATAAATACAAATATTTGAATCTAATTTAGCGTATTGTTAAAAATAAAATCAGGTGGATATATGAAATGAAATATAATCAATAATTTAAGAGTTAGCCAACTAATTTAATGACATAATTTATGAATTTGATAAAATTTATGCATGATAAGAATAATGAATGTGATGTTGAAAACATATGTTGAATATTCTTTCTAATACTAGCTTATTCTAGTTTTATGGTTATGATGACCATGATAATCATGATTTGTAAAGTGAGAACTCTATAGATTGAGGATTGAGTTTGGATGATGTATATAATTTTTTGACGTAAGTGTTAGTGCAATGTTATAAATTCCCCTTTTATGTAAGATAGTATATTGTGTTAGTAGATTTTTTTTATATCATAATATTCATTAAAAAAAAGAAAGATTATGTGAAGACATTACATATTATTAGATGTATAAATCGTCCTTTATAGAATTCATCACAAAATATTTTGAATAAACTATCAAATTTATATGTATCTGTCACAACAATTATTTCCAAGTAGGATATTTTTCATCATAAAACTTTATGACTAATGTTAATTTTCCAGTAGTGAGTGAGAGATCTCTTAACATCTTCACCCTGTGATACTTCTTATTTCTCTTTTATATTTTCTTTGGGACTTCTCACAATTACATGTGAATCAGTTTCCATGTTTTAGTATTGATGTTTTGCCCTTTTGAGAGTGGTTGGTGTTTATTCTATTGATATTTTTTTTTTTCAATTAAAGACATTTTTTATATCCTAGAGGGAACATATATCTTGGCTTAATTCACTTATAATAAAAATAGCATAAAGATAGTTAGTAAAAGAAATTCTGGTACCAAACCTAATCTTAAAAGTTTTTTTCTCAATGAATTCAAATTAAATTGCATAAAAATATTTGAATTCTTTATTTTAAATTTAATACATAATTTTAGTTGCTTTCTTATTTCTTAAATTGGAAGATATCTATGATATGAGGAATAGCTGTGAAATGTTAATTTTAAAGATTTATAAAATAAAAAAAAAACTAAAGGGAATGTCTCTTTGTTTGTCAATGAAGTAGAATGATTATATTGGAAAAGATGCATGGAGCTTGGGGGTGATCTGTTTTGCAATTCCAATCTACACTCTTTGTTTGCTGACTTTTATCTTTTTTAATTCAATTTATATATATATATATATATATATATATATATATATATATTAATTGAATTATTATTTTTTTAATTTTAAAAATAAATTAATTATAAATGTGACATTATTATACAAGTAAGAATGTTATTTGTTTAGTTAAAGGATAAGTTTTATAATTAAAAAGAAAACAGAATATCACAACTAGCATAAATATAAGTATTTTATTATGTTTTTTTATTTTAATTTATTAAAATTTAATGTATATATTAATTTTAAAAATTAAAAAAAATATATATATATATATATATTAATTGAATTATTTTTTTAATTTTAAAAATAAATTAATTATAAATGTTACATTATTATACAAGTAAAAATGTTATTTTTTTAGTTAAAGGATAAGTTTTATAATTAAAAGGAAAACAGAATATCACAACTAGCATAAATATAAGTATTTTATTATGTTGTTTTATTTTAATTTATTAAAATTTAATGTATATATTAATTTTAAAAATTTAAAATTATGAATTATTAGAGCAAATAAACTGAAATAATGTTTGAAATAGAAAAAAATGAATATAAGAGATAATTGAGAGAGTAATAAAGAAGAAAGGATATTTTTTATTGTTTTTATTATATATATATATATATATATATATATATATATTTTTTCTAAAAACGGACAGAAAATGGAATAACGTATGTATTAATTGAGAATATTTTAAAATTATAAGATTTTATTTTATAATTTTTAAATTTAATAAATTGAAATAATAAGCTATCAGTAAATAGTCACATACTTCTAATTTGAGGTGGTTAATTGTTATTTTCAATTAAGTGAAAATATAACTAGAAGATTAAAGTGAATCAAGCCCTATGAATTGAAAATAGGTGAATTTATCTTATGTTTATTTTATAATAAGTTAAAAATTTTATAACTGGACTTAATTTATTAATGAATCACGTGGATTGAGTCACAAACTAATAAATGATTTCACCATCCAAAACCTTTTTTATTATTATTATTATTATTATTATTATTATTATTATTATTATTATATGACACCCTGATATTTATTTTAGCTGTATCATAGCTAAACTTATATAAATCTGCATTTTGATCTAAATTAATTTTGAATTTATAAGAAAAATTATTTATTTTTTACATCTTAATTTTTGTAAAAAGTGTTATGCAAAAGTTTCTCAATGTCCAATCAACTTGATTGCAAGGTAACTGCAAACTGAATTTTCCTGTACCTCTGCTGTGTATAACATAAATGTAAGAAACTAGAGGAATAATAAATGTTGTATATAGTTATTCAAAAACATGATAAGTTACATATTAGTATTAAGTTGATGGTTTTGTTGCTTATTATAGGCTAAATCATGAATAACTTTGATGTCACTCATATCTTATGTAGGTGTTAAAATATATTTACACGTAGATTCGAATAAAAAGTTGATAGTCTAAATTCTCCTCCTATGTTTAGTCTGTAATTTAAATAGGTTTTGATTACACTAGTTTTTAGACTTATAAATGAAAACGGTGTCCAACACAGGCATCTAATTTTCATTTCATAGCTTGTCTTTATATTTCTGGTTTTAGCTACCATTCTTCGTGGTATTTTCTCATTGTCATGTCTCTATGTTTGTTTCTCTTCGATTTTTTTTTTTCTATTGTACTTAATTATTTTCATAACTCAGTAGGGTCAGTTCGTTGGAGATATATCGTTTTCTTTAATTTGGCACTATACTACATAACTGTTTTCATTTGACCAATTCCACTAAAAATAAAAACTAGTTAGGATATTTAAGTCTAGAACATTATGAATCTGTCAGGACTGCAAATCAGTGGTCACACAATGAATGCACTGAACAAAGTCTTTGTTCGTGTGAACCAATGCTGTCGTTTCCTCCAATGAGTAAGTGGGTCTGACATTTCTTGAGTTGAAATTGGCCAAATTATTGATATTTTTTTGGGTACATTGACGATTTTTGGGAACTGAGTTTCACATCATTTAATTTCTATCAATTTAATTTTTATTAAATTTTATTCTCTTAATTTTAATTAATATTTAATATATTTATTTATATATTTATAATTTTATTTTTTAATTTATTTTTAATTTTATAATTTTTATATAATTTATTACTCAAATTTAATCATTATTTAATATATTTAAATATATATCTATAATTTTATCTTTGGAATTTTTTATCTTTTTATTTTTTATATATTTATTATTTGGGTTCCTAAAAATTAATGATCAACATCCGACTAGTATTTACAATTACAACATGAGAAGAAGAAGAAGGGAAATATAATTCTAGTATTTATTTAATAGAACAATACAGAATTTGTAAATTTAGTAATACCAATAAATATATAAATTGTCTGTTCCATGTCATGCATGAAGGCACCTTTCACACTAAGGAGGAGACAATTTGTTTGTGGTACATCATGAGCACTAAATTCCTCCAACGTATTAGTTAACTTCAACAACATTGACATTAAGGACTAAAAACCTCGTGGTGCACACAACTCCTTTATGATTATGATTCTAGAGGGTTGACCATTATTATATAGGTTACCTTGTCCAATTTTGTTTCCTTGTGTTTGATCTATCCCCATAATTAAATATACCCACCAAAAATAAGAGTGTGAACACAACATTCCAAAAAAGTGGATGAAGCCCATCTATATATACTTTTTTCAATTAACCACCTTTGATGCATCCACAACTTGATGTGATAAAAATGTCCCTCCAAAGACTCATTTTCACACCCCTTTTGGTTGTATTCATGAGTATCCATTCTCATGCTCTTGTGGAGCCTTCTACTTGGAAACATGCACCAAACAAAGCAAGTGTTAGGGCTGCGTATTGGCCTGCAGGTGATGATCTTTCACCCTCCTCCATTGACACAAAATACTTCACTCACATCTACTATGCCTTCATCCAACAACACCCTCAACTCTTCCACCTTCGTGTCACTGAATTTGAGAAAAAATGGATTCCTCAATTCATCAACGGGCTCCGCGACCGTTACCCGCCTGTGAAAACTCTCCTGTCAATTGGAGGAGGTGGCAGCAACTCAACCGCCTTCTCCCTCATGGCCACCAACAAACACACCCGACAAGTGTTCATCAACTCCACCATCCACGTGGCGCGCCAATACGGATTCCACGGTCTCGATTTGGATTGGGAATTCCCAGAAAACGAGGTCGATATGTCTAACCTAGGTATCTTGTTCCAAGAGTGGCGTCAAGCTATAACGGTGGAAGCACAGTCCAGTAAAAAACCACCACTGCTTTTGACAGCTGCAGTTTACTATGCTTCCACCATTAAGCTTATCGGAAATGGGCCGAGAACATATCCAATCCAAGCCATTCGTGATTACTTGGATTGGGCCAGCCCAATGTGCTTTGACTACCACGGCGCTTGGGCTAACTTCACAGGCTTTAATGCTGCATTGTATGATCCAAAGTCCAATGTAAGTACCCGATATGGAATCAGGTCTTGGATCGAATCCGGTATGTCAGCCCAGAAGTTGGTTATGGGTTTACCATTATACGGGCGGGCGTGGACGCTCCGAGACCCGAATGTTCATGGGGTTGGAGCAGAAGCTGTTGGGGAAGCCATTGATACGGATGGTACTTTGGATTATGATGAAATTTTGGTGTTCAACAAAGAAAATGGTGCAACTATTGTGTATGATGATGTGGCTGTGTCTTTCTATTCTTATGCGGGTAAAACTTGGATCGGGTATGATGATGGACCATCCATAACAAAGAAGGTTCGGTTTGCTAGGTCTTCGGGTTTGAAGGGCTATTTCTTTTGGGCCCTTGGAAAGGATAAGGATTGGACCATCTCAAGACAAGGTAACCCACTCATACTTGTTGACTTTTTCAGTACTCAAATTATCTGGTTATATAATATTTTTTAGAATAAGATGTATTTTTAGTTTGTGTAATTAAATTTTATGTTCATCATGATCTTTTTTTCCTTAAAAAATATGTTGATTTTGGTGTTGTGAATATTCTCTGTTTCCACTTAATAATGACTTGATTATATTGCATTATGTCATTTTGATTATTAAAATATGAAGCGGTCGAATGCATGATATTGCATATGTAATAAGTAAATATTTAAGTCTAATTTCTAATTGTAAGTTCGTTAGAAGTGTTTTATATATATATGAACAACACTGTCTTGTACGAACAAAGTAAACTCTTTATTCCTCGTTCTTGTGACCATATCTTTTCAGCTTCTTTGTTTTCTATTTGCTTTGATTTTGGTAGCTTTGTGCTATAGTGCATGTAATGTGATTAATCTGTTTCTTTTCTTCTTCTTTGTTTCAGCTTCAAATGTTTGGGGACATTGATAGTTACACGGAGTTCATTTTTATTCATTGTATTATTTGACTGGCTAAAATATTAGTTGGTATAGAATTCTCGTATTCAGAGCTATGGTGAGACCATACTTGAATAAGATTGCGATTGTAATGTAATTGAATACTTTGATTATGTACCAACAATGAATGAAAACATATATTGCGAATTTCCATTAAAGATTGGTAGTATTTTGCATGAGTAGTTGAGAACCGTCCAATGCAAACGTGTTGCATAATTACAACGGTAATAATCAAAATCTGCAATTAATTCATGTAACACAGACAATGGGACTCGACTTATTTGTTAACCTTTGCAAGCCCAATAATTTAGCTAGCATGATTAGTTATAAAGTCATTTATCATAAATTAAAAAACAGTTCATTATTTTTTATCTTATAAATATTTTAAGGTACACTTTCATTCCTTGAAAAAAAGATGAAAGTGGTTATCGTGTAGAAAAGTTGTATCGGAGAAGAAGTTTTTTATACCATTATTCTTTATATTTGTTCTTTTTTAGTGTCTTGTTAGATATCATTGATGTTTTTTGTATTGTTATCACTTTATTGATGATTTTTTATTAATTAATTAATTAATATTCATAATTATTAGTAAATGTTTTGATTGGATTAAGTATGTAGATTCTTCTTTTATAATGATGTTTTTTTAATATTAAAATTTGGTGTCTTTGGATTTTCTTTATCTATTTTGGTGCATCCATTACTATCCACATTATTATTTATTGTTTAATATATTTTGAGATATCCATGTTACTTTTGCTTTTTAATCTTTCTCAATGAAAGGTATCAAAGTTTTCACTAGAGGATATATATAGTTGATGTTTTAAAGACGGGTGATAGTAACAATGTTGGTACCATGATAAAAATTACATTCTACCATTTTTACATGGTATATTTATAACGAAAGATTTATTATTTTACAATTATGTGTTACATCTTATTAAGCAAAAATATATTAAATCATTAGATAAATCTAAAAGACATTGAAAGAAGTTAAATAAAAAGACTATTTATATTATCATAGATAAATTAATTTGATTATTATATTGTATTTAGTGAGATTTTTCTTTACAACTTATGGAAGAGACTTAAACAAGTTGGTAAACTTCAAATAGAAGGATGATTCCTCAATAAATAAAAAACTTTAGTTTTTTAAATATGGTGTATCAATTTATCACTATAAAGATTGTGTTAAATGATGAGTAATTTGCGGTTATTACTTAACTAATTAGGTAATATTTTTAAACAACTTTGCTCTTAATGAGCAATTGACTTTTAATGTGATCAAAGATAATCTTTTCAAATGAATAAACTAAGAGGAAGAAACTATTAAGGTTATTTCCTCAATTTAAAATGAAGTTTTATTTATGAAGTGAAACAAAAGAGATGAATATAAAAGTTATTAGATATTTGATTTTTTTATCAAGTTAAAAGGAAAGTCAAGACTAAGGAAAGACATTACATGTTTTCATTGTAATAGACACGGACTCAAGAGGAAGGATTGTTAGGTCCTCAAGTGAGAAAAATCAAGAGATAAAGGTAACAATAACAATAAGAGAAAAAAATATGATGATGATCTAACCTTGAATTTCAATTGTAGATTGATTTACACAATCTCAACGGAATAATAAAAAAAAATGGACTAAAATAATAAATGAAAAAGACCATAATCTTGGTTGATAAATAAAAAAAATGTACTATTTAAATTGAAATAAGAATCAAAAGCTCTTGAAAATAACTTAGGAAGCTCACAAAACTAAACTTCAATTATCTCAAAATATATATTATGAGCAAATAAGTTTATAAAAGATCTTATATTATGGATCTAAGACTCGAAGCTCATTCCTTAGTTGATCTATCCAAATCCTAATAGAAACTAATGTTTAATAAGTCTCTCATTACACAAAATTATGAACACACATACAAGATCTAATAAAGGCTCAATGGAAAAATTTATAAATAAAATTACATCCAAATTACAATAAAAATATAAAAATTCTAAATTTGTTCCATATCCACTTATGGAATCATTAGGATACATAAAAAGTCACTAGCATAATTATATTTGATGGTGAAGTTTTGTTTTCATTATTTAAGATGATAATTATGTTAATTTTACTGGCCAAAAATATTATCATTGTTGGTTCTACTACCTCATTTTTTATTATACCACATCATGAGTATTTCACATCATATAGTAGTGGTGGTAGCAAAAAGTGAGAAACAAAATATTCTTTATTGGACACATGCAAAATTGTCGGTACCTCAAATAAATGCAATTGAGATTGTTCTATATAAATATGACATAAACAAATTGGTTACTTGAATGAGAATAATCTTAATATTCTTCCAAGACAAGTGTTACTTTTTTATATATACTTCTCTTAAAATATGTTTTGATTGTCTTGTTAATATAAACAACATAAATTTTTTTTTTCATGAAGAAGACAACATATCTTTAATTTACTTCAAACTATGGATGCTAAATCAATTAGTGTACACTCTTAGTTTGTTAATTTATTGATGATTATTCTATAAAGGTGTCAAAAGCTACACATGAGTGCTTCAAGTGCCACAATTTGAGTAATTTCCAATATGAATGTCCCCAATGGATATAAAGAAGAAAATTATGCAAAATTAGATGAAGAGGAAGAGCTTCTGTTGATGGATATTGTAGAAAAGGGAGTCACAAGGAATGATGCTTGGTTTCTAGACTCAGGATGTTCTAATCATATGTTTGGAGACAAAGTTATGTTCGCTGAAATGAAGGCAGACACTAAACACTTTGTCAAATGTGGAAACAATTCTCGGATGACTGTAGTTGAAACAAACAGTGTTAGATTGACGTTCAATAGTACTACTTTTCTCATACACGATGTAATATACTATGTCCTAGAGCTTAGGAAAAATCTGTTGAGCATGGGGCAGCTGCAAGAAAAAGGCCTTGCTATCCTCATACAAAATAGGACATGCAACATCTATCATTCAGCTAAAAGCTTGATTGCATACACCAACATGAGTACAAATCGTATATTCATTATTTTCAATGAATGCTCCACCCTCCCTACTACTACTGGAGCATGTTTACATACTTTCGCTGATCTCACCTACCTTTGACATCAAAGGTATGGTGAATTACATTATAAAGGTTTGAAAACTCTCCAACAAAGACACATGGTGTGTGGATTGCCTCAAGTTGAAGCATCAGATATCACTTATACTTATGGTGTATGTCAAAGTTTGGATATTGGTATTTCACATGTTTCATCTTCATGAGTTGAATGTCTCTCTTCCCAAAATCTTACCACACCTCTCAATGAAGAAATCACTACCTTAACTACACAGATATCTAATTTGCAAGAATAGATGAAAACACACCTGTAGGCACAAACTGATATACAAGCATTGATACAAACACGAATGAGGATACAAACAAAAATGTAAATACTCCTACAACAACAAATGCAAGAAAAAATGCAGTATTTATTATCCGCGTTAACAAAACATAGATAAAAATGTATTTTAAAGAATCAAAACTTTGTGAGGGATTAGTGAGAAAAACATTGCGAGGGATTAGCTACGAAGGAGAGAGAGAAATATTGCAACGAATTAACTACATATCAGTTAAAAATAAATTGTCAGAGATTAATTACAAATTAGCAATATAAAATTTGCGAGGGATTATCTACGAATTAGCGAGAGCAAAATTGCAAAGAATTAACTACGAATTAACAAGAGAAAAATTGTGAGAAATTAACCATAGATCAACTAGAGATAAATTGCAAGGGATGTACCACATATTAGTTAGAGACAAATTACGAGGAATTAGTTATGGATTAACGACAAAACAATTGGAAAGGATTAACTACAAGTTAGGTAGAAATTTGGGAGATCAATTAGCTAAGGAAAGACAAAATTTCATCACTTAAATTAGTGAGGGACTTAGAGACAGATTAAAAACAAAATTTACTACAAATTTGAGAGATAATACATCTCTCTCATTAGCTACCTGAATTTGGTGATAGACTATTCTATAACTATTCAAGCGATTACAGTGAGAAATTAGCTATAAAATACCTATAGAATATGTCATAGCTAATATATAAAATTCTTATAATGAAAAAAATTTAAATAACATATTTATTAATAATGAGATAATAATATTAGTATTAATCTATCAATGTTTTTTCAATGATATTTATTTTTCTTTTTAATTACTTATTTCTTATTTTTTTCTTATCTTTTACTTGTTTATTTGTTTTTATAAGTAAAATAATATATATATTAATTAGTAGTAGAAGTGTCAATACTTCTACAAAAATTCATCTAAATGAATTAAAATAAAAAACCTCTTGCAACTTCTTTTTGTTTCGTTCATGAGATTATGCCCAAATGTATTCTGTTCTATAGAAAATATATATTGTGCTACCATTTTTTCAATTGATGTGTATGCACTCTTGATTCACTTTTATCCTTCTCTCAACTAGTTACTTTCTTTTTCCTTCTTTATCTCCTTTTTACTTTCTTTGGTTCTAGTTGAAGAGCGTTTCTAATTGTTCACAATTTTCAATTACATGGTGCAATTATATAAGCTGCACTCTATATGAACTTGGAGACAGCAGCATTAAGTAATTAGGTTATTGTTTGTTCATGCATAAACATTTAAGCAAGCTAAACTACACTGTTCTGTTCCCAACACTGTCCCCTCCAAACCCAGAAAACAAAACATGAAATAATTAACTTGGTAAAGAGGTAGTCATCATGTGCCATCCAAAAGCAAGGAATCTGAAGATTTTGTAGCAAGAATGAATCTCCAAGATATAGTTATTATATAAGCAAGAGGTTATAAACCTATTTGAATATTAGAGAGGAGGGCCAATATGATGCTTAGGATAATCATGAATGAGCACATAGGATCTTGTTTGGATACATCTTATGCGCCAGGATCTTCCAACATGTGATTTCAGGAACCAACCTGTAACTTTCTCTTCCACCTTTTATTTAATGACCATTCTTGTCTTGATTTCTTCACCGTGTTTCCTAGTTCCAGCTAGGAAAATCTCAAGCACAAATCTATATATAACAAGGGAGATATTTAAAACCAAGATATTTTTTTTAAAATACAATGTTTACTAATCAACTTTCCTTTCTTTTTCATTAAGTATAAATATCCGGATAAACCTAATTATCATAAAATTATGTTATAAAATAATAAAAAAACATTTTTTATTTAAATGTCTATTCTAATAATAATAATAAGGTTTCAATTTATAACTAATTGAATGATCTATCATATCTACAAGCAGAATAAATTAAGTAATTGATATGATTTTTTTTATTATCAATTGATTTTAAAGTTAAAATATATCTTTAATTTTTTTTATTCAGTGAGAGTTTTTAATATTATTAAAGTTATAACATAAAATTAATTAGTAATATATGAAAAAGTCTAAATGAGATAAATAATGTGAGACTTTCAACATTCCAATGAGATAAATGATATTTTTGACCTAGAATGAAAATATAATTTTTGATTCAACAAGATAAATGATATTTTTGACCTACAATAAAAATATATTTTTTGATTCAAAATAACAACAAAAAAAGTTAGGTTTAAAGTTCTAACCTAAAACCAATTAATAATATAAAATAGTCTAATAAATATTAATAATATAAAGTAGTCTAATAAATATTTAAACCATATATAAGACACCATATAAAATTTTAAATAAATATATACGAAAACTTTATATATATACGAAGGAGTTAGAGATATATTTAAAAATTTTTATTTCAAATTGCAATAAAATTAATAAATATTATTTTTCATCATATCCTTATCTAAGTTAATTTAGATGATGTTCTACTTTTTATTTATTATTTATTTATTCTATGACTATTAAGATAAAGATTAAAATATTGGATTTGTTGATGGAAAAAGCAGCAGGAATTAAGGGCAAGTGTGAGAAAAGGGGTTTGATAAAAGAAAGGGAAAAACATGAAGCTGGTTGAATAATAAAACCTTAGGAGTGTATCTTAGAACCAAAAATGCTATAAAGTTTTGTCCACTCAAGAGGCCAAAACAGCAGTCAACATGTATAGTGGGCATTGAAGTGAGAGATGATTTGTCAAGTGTTGTTTGGGTTAAGATTGTTGATTATTAGTCATCATCTACCGTTCTCCACCAACCTTCACAAGTGATTGTCCACGTTTCCATGTCCCATTCGTCGTTGTTTCACTTTTCCATTGCATGCGTGCAATTAAATGGGTTTTTCCATCACGTAAACAAATTATAACCAGAAACTTCTTCAAAACCTAAATCATGTTTCTATCTTATTAGAATTATCATTTTAGAACTTTTTTTTTTTTTATGTTGTTATTTACAACTCTTCAATCTAATATCACTTTGACCCACCATTGCGAAATCATTTTAAAAATTCGAAAAATTTCACATTGTAAAACAAAAATATTTATTTATGTTCGACATTACGTTCAGTTTTTATCTAAGGTCAATATTCATATTGACATTAGGATGATATTTTGACATTTATTTAACTAAACAAGTATTTTTTTTTCAACTTTTATTGACTTTTAAATATTTTTATTGTGAAAGATTTGCGTGATATTTTTAATATATTTTTTTGAAGAATTTTTCAAAGTTAAGTGTGGGTTAAGATTATTGTTTTTTATGTTTTAATTTTCTTGTAACTATCACTGTATTGGTTTATAATTATATTTTCATATCATATTGATTTCTATCTATTTTTTAAAATTATTTTAATATTTTCAAAAAAATAATTTTGAAAGTTTTACCATGAGCTTTTATTTCCATCATGCCTCTTCTCTAACGCTGTGTTTGTTTCCACTGATATACTGTTAACGAAGATAGAAGCACGAGGATGCCACACGTTTGGTTGAACAAAAACACGACGAAATGAAAGCGAGAAAAAACGGGAGATGAGAGAAAGAGGTTCTTCACTGATGCACGAAGAAAAGAGATGAAAGCCCCTTGGACAAATTGAAATGTCCAACTTACCCTCACTCTGCAAGATTCACTAGTGCATGCATGGAGAGAGATTCTTAAGAATCTCTGCAAAAAGTTGAGAAAATATAATTTATATTAATTACTATAATATAAAATATATATTCCAAAATATAACTTATTTTCATTAATATATATATATATATATATATATATATATAATTTTACATAAAAATATATTCAAATAATTGAGACTTTAGATAGCGGTTAACGTAGAACCGCTATCATAGGTTCACTTTTAAGAGTGGTTAAGATGTTAACCGCTCTTAAAAATGAACATATGATAGCGGTTCCACGTTAACAACTATCTAAAGTCTCGATTATTTGAAAAAGTGATCGATCATTTGGAAAAGTAATCAATCATTTGAAAAATTATATATTCTAAAATATAATTTATTTTAATTTCTATAATATATATATAAATGAAAATAAGTTATATTTGCAATATATATTTTATATTATAGTAATTAATATAAATTATATTTTAGAATATATATATATATATATATATATAAATTATATATTCTAAAATATAATTTATTTTTATTTCTATAATATATATAAATGAAAATAAGTTATATTTGCAATATATATTTTATATTATAATAATTAATATAAATTATATTTTAGAATATATATATATATATATATATATATAGTAGTTAACTTGGAACCGCTATCATAGGTTCACTTTTAAGAGCGGTTAACATCTTAACCGCTCTTAAAAGTGAACATATGATAGCGGTTCCACGTTAACCATTATCTAAAGTCTCGATTATTTGAAAAAGTGATCGATCATTTGGAAAAGTAATCGATCATTTGAAAAATTATATATTCTAAAATATAATTTATTTTAATTTCTATAATATATATATAAATGAAAATAATAATTTATTTTAATTATTATTCTATTTTCACTGTATTTTATATTTATTTAAAATAATAATTTACAATTATATTATTAGTTTTCATAATTATTTGTTATTATTAGTCAATATTAATTATTATTTTATATTTAATTATTTAATTATTAGTCAAATAATTTATTTAATATGTCAAAATAATTTTTTTGTGGATATGCAATGTACATAATTTTGTAATTGTTTATTTATATAATTTTTAATAACTATTTTAAAAAAAGTTAATTTTTTAAATTTGTTTCCAATTACAAACACTTTTAAATTTGTTTTTTCTTTTAAATATATATTCAATGTTAAAATATGGATAATTAATTAAAAAATTATATTTATAATAATTTGAACCTTATTTTATACACAAGGGTAAAATAATAATTTTCTTAAATAATCAATTAAAATTATAATTTTTATATCTCATATCAATCAAATCATTCACAATTTTCCATAAACTTTTCTTTCACTTTCCATTCATCCAAACAACTTTAATTTCATCTCCATTTTTCTTCAAATTCCTCCTTTTCCACACTCTCATTTTCACTCTCTCAAATCACTCCAACCAAACAAAGCCTAAGAGTTATTATTATTATTATTATTATTATTATTATTATTATTATTATTATTATTATTATTATTATTATTATTATTATTATTATTAAATATGTGCTTATACCATGGTGGATAATATATGTTAATTAATTGATTTGTAATTCCTTACATTGAGATTTTAAATTGTTGTATATTAAAATTGTTATAGTGTCTTCTGTTTGTATAAATTATCCCCATCAACCTTTTAAATTCACATTTATATTATATATATTATTAAATGTTAATCCTATAATCTTTTTAGTTTAATAAGTAGTTGTTGTGATATAACTTAATTTATTTAAATTTCATTTTATAATATTTAACCCAACACAACAATTTGAACAAATTCTTCATTTTCTTGAATATCGAAATAAGTAGATCTTGAATAATAATTTCTTATTTTTAATTAATTTTTATTTTGAATTTATTTATCTATTAATTATTTTTCTAAAGTGTTTAACAATAATTTTTCTAGATTTAATTTTCTTAAATTTCCTTTTTTTTAATTCCCTGAACATCTTCTTCAACTTCACTCTTAAATTTTATTACTTGTAACTTTTTTAAGAGTATTGTTTAATGTAAATATTAGTTTTACACGAGGTTTAACCTCATATTTCTTATTTTTCTATTTTAACTATTTTTTCTGACATAATATCTAAAATTAAAAATATTTAGTTGTTAATGTAATATTTTAATATTTTGTATCTTTTTTTTCCTTAGCACGTACATCTTAAAAAGTATTTTTTTTTACTTTCATATTATCTGATTTTTTTATTCCATCTAAAAGAGAATATTCCTTTTCTACTATTTTTATTCAAAATATCTACAAGAGGATATTTCTTTTATAATAAAACATAGTTCCAAATTGTTCAATATTTTCTTTTTCAAAAATTGAAAAAAAAAAACCGATCTCTTGTCTTAGTTTCAAAATTTTCTCTCGTCAACAAGCAAAATTAAGTCATATCCATTTATTGAATGTCTTGTCTAAATAAATTTTGAGATTCTCTAAATTTTTTATAATATTGTTTTTGTTTTCTATTATTTTCCTAATTTAAGTGCCGTAGAATTTTTTTAATCATGTCTTTAAATACCCTTTATTTTTTAATTTTACATATATTTCTTGGTGACTAATTTTAGTCAATTGGAGTTATAGACTTTTTTTATAATTTGTTTTTACAAGTAATTTTTTTTTCTGTCATGATCATATAACTTTAAAATTATAATTAATTTTTGTTATTTTATTATAATTTTAAATATAATTTAAAATTGTCTACTTGTGTCTAATGTTTGAAAAAAGTATTTTATATATAATTTTATTAATTTGAAGTGTACTGTTTTTTTACATTTATAATTATTTGGATATCAGTTGAAAAAAAACAGAGGTCCATCATACAAATTGTTTTCTACAACAACTATAATATAATCTTGTATCTTTTAATAATATAATTTATAAGTGTATTAATTTTTAATTCAGAATTTGGTTTAACAGCTAGGTATTCAAACATGTAAATCTCTTTATTGATAGAGAAAAACCATAAAAAATGTTATTTATAAACTTTTATTTTTTATTATGAAAATTGAACAATTATTTTAGTTATTTTATTTGTTTCTCTTAATATGTAATGACACTATTTTTCCCCCTTATTTAGCCAAACAAAAGAATCCAATTTATAATTTATTACTAAGACCACTAAACCTATAAGTTGACCTATATTTATAGATTCTTATCCTTTCACTTAAGGCTAATCATGATATTGAATGAAAATTTTGATTTTGAATTTTAAATTCTAATCCAAAAGTCTCTTCTATAATTTACAATCTAATACTATATTGGAAATATCTTTAAATTAAAAACAACAGGGAACGATAAATGTTAAGTTGATAATATATTTAAAATAGTGGTCACATATATAATTTTATATACATATCTTATTTTATAAGAAATATAATTATATGCATGTCTTACTTAAAAATAACGTAAATACTTTAATTTAGATTTTTTTTGTATTTACTTATCTAATCTAATATTTTTCTTTTTATTATTTAGCATTTAAATAAATATAATTAATGGTAAGAATCCAAAAATACTAACAAAATGTTATAAAATCTAAAACTAAACTAGTTTATATTTGAATGAATTTAAAACATGATTTAAATTAATCAAGATATACTTTAAGGAGTAAAATATTTTTATTTTGCATCAACTTTACGAATGAAAACATTTGAATTGAATTTATGATTATATTTATATAAGAATACATATTACATAGCTATCTAGTCTTGTAGTATCTTATTGAGAATTTAATTTATTATTCTAAAATTTTCTTTGTTCTTACCCCTCAGCTACATAAACATTCATATTCGTTTTTTCTTTTTCTTATTTTTTTTTAAACAAAAGGAACAAATTAAGGTGAAAGAATATTTATTTTCTTCTTTGGGATGATTGTCATCGAATCTCAAATAAATAATAAATGCATAATTAAAACAAATAAATATTGATTGATATTTAAGTAAATGGAAGATAAAAATTAAATTATATATGTAAAGTAACAGATATCACCGATGCAAATTTTTTGCTCAATAGAAAACAGTGTGGTTACAATTACAAACAAGTTTCTCACTAATTTGGCAATCAATAAAACCACTTAAATGATAGACAAAATGCAAAAAAAGAAAAGAAAAGAAAAAGTTTGTTGAACATTATGATATATATATTTTGTTGGTCACAGTTTTTATTAATTTTAGTCAAATATAACAGTTTTCTTTTATTCTTCTTGAAAAACATTTTTAGTGATCAATAATATATATATATATATATATATATATATATATATATATATATATATAATACTAATTAGGTTGTCAATTTTATATAATTAATTTGTCTTTTACTTTCTCATAATTAGTCTTAGTACTAAAACTATCAATAGTATGTTCTTCGTAACCTAATGTGTTCGATTTAAAATTACTAAATATATAGCTATTAATAAAATATTTAATTTATTTTTATAATGTTATATGTATAATTTAAAAAATCTAATTATTTCTTTTAAATTATTATAATCTTTTGAAAAATAATCACTATAAAAGTCAATAATTTTACCATAAATGATATAATTTATAATTAAATGCAGCTTATATATATATATATATATATATAATTTTTTATTAAATATAGTTAAATTTTAGATTAAATTATCATAACATATAATTTTGGTGTAATGATTTAAACAAAATAACGCCATAATAATTACATATGAGATAATGAGGGAAATTACTAATAGGTAATAAAAGGACATAGATATAGTGAGAAATTTTGAAAACACAAGATAGTGATATGTTTTAAATTGTAGAAGGAAAGTATCAAAGATTATTTATGATTTGTTGAGCGTGTGTAATTTTTCCTGAAAATTTTGAATATGTGACTAGTCTTTCTGGTATCTAACGAGAAAGGAAGGAGGAAGGTCCATCACTATCTTCTATAATTTGGTCAATGTTTCATGTTGTTAAATAAACTTTCACTGGGCACACACCACACATTTACTTTAAGATTCTGTATCTTGCTCATTCAGCTACAGTTACACACATTCTCACAACACATAACCTCCCAAACAAGCATATCAATGTTTTAAATGTTCTCTCTTCCTCCCTCCCCTTCATCACTCCTACTTTCTTCCATCAAATTTTCTTTTTCTTTCTTTTGGGTTACTGTGTTTCATAGATTCTGTCTTGGGTTCTGAGTTCTGGCTTCTGACATATAAAAGAGAAAGATCTCTTACAGTTTCAAGTTAACTAAGAGTTGAAGATCCTTTTGCAGAAAATGACAGTTGTGGAGGATCATAAAATGGATGAGTTTCCCAGAGGAATGCGAGTTCTTGCTGTTGATGATGACTCAACATGTCTCATGATTTTGGAGACTATGCTACGAAGGTGCCAATATCATGGTCAACATCTTGTACTCTTTCCTTTTGTTTTATTTGTAATTTTTTATTGCATTGTTATCTGTAAGTGAATTCTACTTTGCTCCATTTTTAGCCCAGACATTATTATTTTTTCGATTAATATAGTTTTTTGCTTTGTAAACATGAATTTTTCAAATTGAGTTTGCTAATTTGATTCGTTTGGGTTTTCATCTGACAGAACTTATCACATGATATGCCTTAAGTTTTGAAGATATGCATATATCTATATGAGTATATTTATTTGTGGATATGTAAAATTATTGTCAACGAGTTGACTCTTCTTTTTCCATCGGATATCTGTTTTTCTACTTCATAGACTTTCGATGTTTTTATGAATTAATCAATTAAACTCATATTTCCCCCCCTTTTTTCTTTGTACCGTTTCTTAAAGGTTCGGATAAATTAGTTTCTTTTGGTAAGTACTGGTTTTATTGGATGCATCACTTTCCCATATATTTTGTTTTCTGGTTGGTTGCATCTACAGTGTGCAATTTTGCCTTTTCAGAATGATATTTATTTTAGTTACGGATTTTGCAGTGACTTCCACTAAAAACGCAAAAACGGCATTGAATCTGTTGAGAGGGAATAAAAACAAGTTTGACCTAGTAATCAGTGATGTCCAAATGCCAGACATGGATGGATTCAAACTGCTTGAGCTTGTGGGGCTTGAGATGGACCTACCTGTCATAAGTAAGAAGCGATAATCTTATTTCAATCTTCAACAGTTCATTCTTCTTAGTTTTGTCCACATTATTGATTAGTATATAATTATAACTGAAATTAGATAAATAGTTTTAGATATTTCTAGTATTCGGCTTTTAGTTTTCAGATGCTCTTTGTGTATATTTTAATCATGTTTTGTTTACTTCATCACTACGAAAGATCTTTCGGATTTTGGGTCTTGTTTTGTAGAGCATAAAAGGATTATATGAATTGTATTTTGACAGGAATCGTACTCAATTGTTGATTTTGGGTCTTCTGCAATTCTTCCCATGATACACCTTATTAGCCTAGAGAATCATGCGATACTAACAACTATGTTTCCAATAGATTGGTAAATATGAAGCTTTAGTGTATATATTATACTTAAAGCCCAACAACTATTACAGAATATTAAGTATTTTGGAATTCTCTCGTGATACAAATTTTTAGCCAACTGATTCATGTGTTTCTGACAGTCATGTTCATGATTGATTGATAAATATGAAACTTTGATATACAAATGCAAAGTAAACATGGAAAGATTTTCTTCAGATACTAATGTATAGCAACTTCTTTTGGTTGTTTGATTAGTGTTGTCTGTAAATGATGACCCTAAGATGGTGATGAAGGGAATTACACATGGAGCTTGTGATTATCTACTGAAACCTGTTAGAATTAAGGAAATACAGAACATTTGGCAGCATGTTGTCAGAAGGAAGACGATTGATTCGAAGGAGTGGAACAAAACCAGCTACCAAGACAATGTTAATGCTGATAGTAATGAAAGAGGGTCGGTAGCAAAAGGAAATTCAGATCAAATTGGAAAGTCTTCCAGAAAAAGGAAGGATGAGGATGAGGATGATTATGAGGAGAATGAAAATGGCCATTACAATGAGGACTCATCAAGTCACAAGAAACCTCGAGTTGTTTGGAGTGTTGAACTGCACCGCAAGTTTGTTTCTGCTGTCAATCAATTAGGCTTTGAAAGTATGTTCTTCAATCTATCTATTACTCCAAATTGTGTTATCACATTTCTCAAAGCAAATTACCCTAACACCTTTTGTTTCGGAATTCACATGATACCTTGCTTTTGGTGTCTCCTCTTAATTGTTTGAAATACATTACAGTGACATCTCTTGTTATTCAAGTAACACATTGCACAATGTACCTGTGTAAGGGTGGTTATTATAAGGATAAAAAGGCATGAACATTGTCTGAATTTTGAAGAACCACAATAAGTGTCTTCACAATTTCTTATCGATTGGTACATGTGCTTAATCAATTGTTCTTTCCTTCATTTTTATTTTAACAAGCTTCTTATTATAAATATTTGAGATCCTTAAAATATGAAAATTCTATTAAGCATTATTTTTAAAACTTCCTATTGCAAGCTCCCTGAGGGTAAATGTAATGCCTTTGATCATTACTAAGGTTTTACATTTTGACATTGAGTGTTCTATTACTGAACTGTATGACTCCTGATATTGTTAACTATTTTTGTTGCAGAAGCTGTGCCTAAAAAGATTCTTGACTTGATGAATGTTGAAAAGCTTACAAGGGAGAATGTAGCCAGCCACCTCCAGGCATTTTCCTGAACCTTTCTTATATAGTTTGATGTAGCATAAGCCCTTTCATATAGGGAATCTCATTTCGTTTTTCTAGAGTGCAGAAATATAGGCTTTACCTGAAAAGAATTAACTCTGCGGCGAACCGACAGGCTAATATGGTGGTAGCCTTAGGCACTGCAGATTCATCCTATTTGAGAATGGATTCTCTGAGTGGGGTTGGACATTTGACGTCATTGACTGGAGCTCAACAGTTTCATAATAATACTTTCAGACCCTTTGGATCCGGTGGGATGGCTGGAAGATTGAACACTTCTTTTGGTGTGAATGTGCATGGGTTGCCTTCTTCAGAAACTCTTCAGTTGGGTCATGCTCAAAATTTACACAAATCTATACATGATCCACTTAAGTTCCAACCAACAATAACTTGTGGTAACCAGAATGGTATTCAGGGAATATCAATGTCTACAGGTCTTGATCAATTCCAACATAATAAGGGTGTTAGTGTTGGTGTTAGTCCTATTCAAAACATTTCCCCTCTTATTGATGTTCAACCAAATTTGTCAATACCAAATAAACTCCCAGATCTGATACCAAAAGCAATAATGGGTTGCTCACCCTCTCCAGTTTTGGACATATCAAACAATGCTTTGGTATTGAAAGCTGAAAGTGAAAACACCCAAGGGAGTGGAATGATATATGGTCAAACTTCATTAGCCTCTCAGCATTCACAATTCTCACTCCCTTTGCTGGAACAGGGTAGGTGTAGTGATATTTGGTCAAATTCTGCTGCTGAGTCATCTGGGATAAATTCTTACCCTCCAAGTGAAACTTTTCAAGTAAGGAATCTGAGTTGTGCTTCATCCATTACTACACTGTCTAACGAATCTCATGATCCACTAAAAGATATGCACTCCCAAGGAGTTTTTTTTCCAAATAATTCTGGACAAATAAGCAATAATGTGGCGCCATTTCAAGTGTGGAACGACAATAATGATGATAGTACTTTCCATTCAAATATTTTTGGTAATTCAATAGACGCCCTGATTGATACAGATGGCCATAGTTCTATTAACTCAACCTACAACAGAAACACGGACTTCAGTTTTTTTTATCCCTCACTAATGAAGCCTGATGGAATTATGGGATTGAGTGAAGAAAACACATTGAAACAACAACAGGAGTACACCCTGAACCAGAACAAGTCTCAAAACAATCGTGCCGCTAATAATCTTGTTTCACTGGAAGAATTTGTCAGTTCAATGACGAACCAGGTAATCAATTTTATTCAATTCTAAGAGGTTTCACTACAGATATTTCCGCATTATTTTGGTTTTTATGTTCTGAATTGTTTATCTATGAATCTGTTTGTGATTTCTGTTTCTATCTGATTATAGATTTTTTTTCCCTCTAGTTTTCCTATTGATTAAAACATGCATAGAACTTTTGATTAGGTTGATACCAAAACTTGAAAATAATATTTAATCAAACATAATGTTATATAACTCCATTAAAGTCTTGCTAAATTCTTATCAATGTATACATTACTTGCTATAAATAGTTAACATTCTACTCTGGATTAATTTCATGCTAAATTCTGTTGTTATATGCTGATTGAATGTCAAGTAATTAGTGGAATTAAAGAAGAGGGCAATACCCGCATGATTGTTTGCTGGAAATTTAGGATTTTACATTGCAGGAATTGGTGGATTGGACATACTTGCCCGTGTTTCATTTCCTCGATGCCCTTAATAGATGTCAATACTTCATGCGCCTTGGTCTATATTTAAGGGCACTCACAGTGCTATGTTGGCATACAAATAGATAATTTTGTTGACATTCATATTAACAATGTCTTCATTATTTGATAGTGATGTTCAACTGATCTTTATTTCTTCCCAAATTATTCTTGTTTGGCACTTATGACACTGAACCTCACACTCATGGTAACATAATTTTCAATAAAATTTTAACGAACAAAACAAATAAACTTCTCTTAAATAGTCTTTAAACTAATGAAATTACATAAAGTAGGATTATTTGGTAGAAAGTCTAGGTTTCTTCAACTCTCTAATCCTCTCCCCTTTTTTTTACCCCTTTCTTCCATCTTATGATGTTAACATGCATGCTTTTCTAGCTAGGATTTGTGAAACAAACATGCTCATCAAATGCGTTTTACTATTTAACTTCTGATTCATTTTTCTTGTTGACCCTTTTTGCATTTTGCTCCTGATCTTTTCTCCCAAGCAAAAATCTCACAATAACCTTGTTATGTAATGCAGAAACAAAACAATGTGAAATTATTGGATGGATACTTATACGACAACAACTACTCTGACGGGACAACCATGTGACACCAAGTTTGGTAGTATATTTAAGCATCATGTCATGCTTATTGATGAATTTTGTGGCGTGACAAGTCTTACGGTTTACCTTTTCTCCCAGTTTTGTCTTTTTGTCAAATATTTCTAGCTATAGAGTATTACTTTCAGCAAGAGCTTTTCTCCAATTGTGAATAATGCTTTGTCTATGGATGTGTCCTCTGGTGCATTATGGAGTTCACCATGTCTAGTTTTGTGGAAATTTTCTTGCTATTTGTTAATGGTCCATGAGCAAGATTAAGTATTTTTGGTGACAATAAACTAGGGCTTTTCCCCTTTTTCTTATGAATGAAACAATGTGATAACAAATAATTTCTTAGAAATTTCAGTTTTTTTAATTCTTTGTGATACTAAAAACAGGATTACATATCTGTATTTAAACACTCTTAGGAACTCTCTTTGTTATACTAAAATATTTACTTCCTAGAAATTGACTCTCATAATAATACTCCTCGATAACACCATTTCCTAAACGTACAAGAAATTTTCTAATTCCTAAGACTATTAGAGACAAATGTTTAAACACCAAGAGACATTCTAATAAAACTTAATTAACTTATTATTAATTTTACCTAATAAAACTCCTTGTAAAATTATTTCTCTGTATTAAAAACTTGATATTAGCTTCACCTTGACCTTCCAACTTTTGACTAGCCTTCAACTTCAAAACTTCAATATTAGCTTGGTTTCGATCACCTAATTACCGACTTCAAAACTTCTTGGTCTTCAAAATATCTCGGGCTCCAAACTTTCAAGCTTCCTACTAGTCGACTACGTGTCTTCTTCCTGAGTACTCTGTGTTTCTTTCATCCTTTATCCCATTAATCCACATCTCCACACCACTCACTGTTCGACTTATTCTCATCCTTCTTGAATACCTGCTTCTCACCAATAGACCAACCATAATATTCTCTAACTCAGTCCTTTTCATCTATAACAACTTCAATATTCTCTTCAACATTTCTCTGAAGTGGTGTTCTCGCCTGATTATCGACTACACCTCTGAAAACTCTCTCCTTCATGTCATTCGCCTTTTTACCAATCTCTTCTCTACAAATTTTGACAACAACTGATGGTATATAAGCTCATTATCCTCTCGATTTAGCAACAACCGTAGGTGCAATAGTTTGCCTTACTCGGTCTCTTTCACTTGCATCACCAACTCAGATAATATCATGATTATCATCATGATCAACTCTGTTAAACCACAAAAGTGCATATGAGTAGATCAGTAATTTACCTTCAATGCGTCCTCTACATTTGATCTCAAACTCCTCTCCCGAATGCTTCTCAGTTGTACATTCTATTCTTTCCCATCTCTACTCGAGCAATTAACCTTCCAAGTTTGTTCTTCAATTGGAGCACTCGATCTTTCATGAAAATTGAGTATTCCTTCTCCATCAATTGTCTCATACTTAAAATGTTACTTTTGAGATCAGGAACATAAAGTACATCTTGAATTGACCCGATTAGGTCATCCTTTTACAAGAAACAAAGAGTGCCTCGACCTCGAAGCCTCTCGAAACAAAACATGATCACCCTCAATTTTCTACAATTTGCTGAATAGGTGTTCGTCCTTACACATATGATTACTTGCACCCGTATCTAAAAATCATACCGACTTGTGAGCGGCTTCTTCCCGAACTCCTTTACTGTAAATTTTCGTGTTGAGATTGGTCATTAACAATGTTACTCTATTCTTCTTTTCCTTTACAAGATAGGTCTCACCTTCATTTTAACATTCTTTGACGAAATATCCCTCATTTACACAGTTGAAACATCTTCTCGAATAAGAATCCTTCTCATAATAACCATATTGTCACACTTGAAACACTCAACATCTGAGTGGTTCTCTGATCGACCTCCTCTCAATCCATTACCTCTTCAGTTTTGTAAACTCCCCTCTTCCTTCTCATCACCTCGACCACTGAATCTGCCTCGTCTAGATCGACCACCTTAGAATCGACCATCATGCTCTCTTCCTCTATTATTATAAGAATAAAGTGTCTTCTTCTCATTTTAGAACAGTTTCTCACGCGTGTCCTCGTCCTCCTTATCTTTCTCCATTTGGTGTTCATAGGCTTCAAGAGATCTGACTAATTCTTTTATTGAAAACTCGGACGAACTCTTCGCTTGTTCTATCGCACACACCATGTTGTTAAAGGATTTTGTCAATAACTTCAAGATCTTTTCAAAAATCTGTTGTGGAAAATACCTCTCCGTTCTGATTAAGCTATTTTGCCACATTTTTAACACACAGGACATATTCAAAAACTTTTTTCGACTCCTTCATGTTTGTGCTTTCCATCTCGTTTCGTAGTGTCTAACGTGAATTCGTGTGACTTTGTCATTTTCTCGTGCTCCTTCTTCAACACATCCCATGCATCAGATGCCAATGTGGCTCCTACAATCTTCTCAAAGTTAGAATCTTCTACAACTCAAAACAACAAAAATAGAGCATCATTGTCTTTCTCACGTTTCTTCTCTAACTCTCTGAGTTCATTGACCATCAATCCTTCCGTGGTTTTAGGTTGTTCAAAACCTTCCTTCACCATCTTCCAAACACCTTGGGCTTTGAGGAGAACTTTCATCTGGACACTCCATTTATTATAGTTGACATCCTTAATTAGTCGGGGCATAATTGCAACAACATTTCCTAGACTAGTCATCTCAATTTTTTATTTTTTTTTACACTCGATCCCTATCTTTCACTATTGTGAAGAACCCAAATTTTTCTCACAAACCCTAACTTTGAATTCGAATTTGATAATTATCATTTCTTAAACATCCAATAAACTTTCTAATTCTCAAAAAGACAAACAGTTATACATTCCAATAAAACCTAAATTAACTTATTGCATTTTTCTTGTGAAGTTCAATCCTTATTAACTATGATCTGGGTATGAGATTTTAATATTTAAACACCATGTTCATTATTATTGTTCAGAAATAAAAACGCACTGTTCATCATTTCATTTATGAAAACTTTTCCCTTCGTTTGAAAAATATTAATATTGTAATTGGACAGAATTTCTAAATTTTAGAGAATTTAAAATATTTAAAATTTGAACTGTACTTATTTAAATTTATAACATTCCAAAAATAATTCAAATTTCTTAAAATTTTAATCATTAATTTGAGTGATCTAATTTAATTTTTAAGATATATAATTATAATAATTTTTATGAATTGTTACACTAACAAAACTTATTAATTTTGTTGATCCAACCTTTGAATTATATGATATAAAGAATATATATGTTAAATTTTATGAAAATTGAATAATTATAAAAAAGTTAAATTATTTATATTTTAGTATATTTAAAAATATATTGTATAGAATTCTATCATGACATTCTATTGAAGTATCACTAACATCGAACTATTTTATCAAAGTGAAGTAGATGTTGTTCTAGATAAAGTGAATCCGGAGTGCCCTTATTAACCACTAAAAAAAAATATTCATTGTATAAAATAATTTAATAATTGAAGATAATTAGTCTTAAAATGATCTTGTCATTGAATAGGTTTCTGCATTAGTCAATCAGTCTCAAAAATTAGTTACCAAGGTTTTAGTTACCTTTTAGATTATAATATATCTCGAATTACTCTAGTCATTATTTTTTCAAACTTAAGAGACCGTTAATTCAATTTAGAAACATTCTTTTCTACTAGTGAATTACATCTTACTAATCAAGATGTTATAATTTGGGTTAAACCAATGTATCCAAACCTCACCTAATCAATAATAAACGAGTTCCATAAAATTGGTTGATGAAGTTGGTAGGTATACTACTATTATGAAATCTATTGAGTGAACTTTTACCGAATACTCTACTAAATAATATAAAAAGTGGAAGATTAACTTTTTTTTTTTTTATCAATAACAAAGAATAAGATTAATAGAAGTACAAGGGGTTACTTTAATCCAAATACATTTGAAAGAAGTTAAATGAAAGAAAATAAAAACAATCCGTTGGGTCACAAAGCTGGGCAAATCACAAAAGCCTAAGAGTGCAAGTTCAATAACCTCAACGGTTCCGAAAGAAACTACCTTCGGATATAATCCTAACAATAACATAGATAACATCAAGGCTAATAAACATGCCTTATAACCCTCGGGTACTCTTACCCTCCGTCTTCTTATATGGGTTCTCATCTTTGTAGTAGAATTTCATACTTTAACTTGTTCAAACATATATCAGGCAACACAGACAAAAGAAAAGCTATAGGACAATTAACCTCATACACCTTACCGGTTCATAAAACCAATCGGAATTTGCTAGACTCGCTCCATCCTAGTCTCTAGCGCACCAAACAATGAATTTTGCACTCGCTTTACTAAATCCTACTTCCGCATCAAATTTATCATTTTTAAAAATATATTTGTTCCTTTGAGACCAAATTTTATATACCACTGCTACCCATAATCTTTTCCACAACATATTTCCCTTCGCTCCCAATCCACCTAATGCAAAGCTTTCCAGGCTTGCTTTCACCTCACAGTGACTAACAAAGTTGATTCCCACCCATCTAAAACACTTTTCCCAAATCTCACTGGTCACCTTATATGTGAAAAAGAGATGATTGGATGTTTCGTCCTCAATTCCACACAAAGCACATTTTGGGTCACCTATAACAACCCCTCTCCTAACTAAATTCACCTTAATAGGGATCCTATCCTGAAGAATTCTCCACCCTATAACCATGACTTTTGGTATCGCTTTAATTTTCCAGCACCATTTAAAGATCGATTTATTCTCATCGCAAGTTACTTTGGATAGAATCTCGTACGCTTCTTTTATAGTATATCCTTCATTTTTATTCGGTCCCCACAACCACGTATCTTCTGTATCCCTATTAAGTGTTATGCCCTGAATCTTACTTAACATTTCCTCCTTTATTTCTTTATCCCATTCAAAACGTTGTCTTCTCCAATTTACTCTCCATTCCCATCTATTTTCAATCCACTCACCATGTTTTGATAGCACCCCATTTTTGTTCAGTCCTATTTGTTTTAACCTTGGGAACAAACTAACTAAACTTTGTTCCCCCAATCCACACATCATCCCAAAACCTGATTTTCTCCCCATTTCCTATCTTTCATGTTACATGTTTATCAAACCAAGCTCTACCAACATTATCTTTACATATTCTTTTTATATCTAGCCACCATTTTGAATCCTTATTAATGTTTTTCGGTTCATCTAAGGCTCTCCAAGATCCGTATTTGGCTTCTAT